CTACATTTTTTTCTAAATGAGAAAAAACAATTCGATTCAATATATATCTTCCAACAATAGTACATCTTTCACAAGAATGATAACCGGTATGATTAACTATACCTTTTAACAAGGAGCGAGCAGGAGCATCACAAATAAATGCATAAATTTGAATTGTGTTACTTTTGTCATTTACTACAAACGGAGTGGTTGTTACTATTTTTAACTCATTTGAAAAATCTTTTAAAAATAAATGACTTTTAGGAATTTTAATTGATCCACAATACATTCCAATTAAAAACGAATTGTAACCTTTAACGAGTCCAACCCTGTAAGAGCTGGATTTATACAATGGTAAAACATCTATATATTAATGCTTAAAGAAATGTTGACATCAAGAATTGAATGACATATTATTTGATTAGTGATCTGTTTTTTCAATCCAAGATATATATAACTCCCACCATCAACATTTTTAGAACAAATACTTCTTTTTGTTTTTAACAAGGTTCTACAATCCAAAAGCACTTTAAACTTATATTAAGAAAATAAAGCTAAAACTTCATTAGTGCATCGCCTGGTACAGTTATTTTTAAGTGAACATTCCTTAATTTTTGAACATAAGACAAGATTATATTCTATTTTATTATCAAATATCACATATCTAGAGTCAGAAAGATCAGTACTACTTTCCTTAAGTGCTGAATTTAGAGATAAATTATAATCCTTAGGATCATCACTCTAAAATTTTGGTAATTTAAACTCGTCAAAATTAGGTTCACTAAAATCATTGATAAATTCTGTTTTTACTCTAACAGCCGAATAATTATCAGTTTGGAAAACCAAAATATCTTGCTGATTATTTCCAAACTTTTCTAGAACTGCATTTCTATGTTTCCTCCATATACTAAAATAGTTATCGCTTATAATTAATACTTAACTTAACGCTGCTGCTCACCATTCGTGCACCTTTACACGGATTTTTTTACCATACTTGGCCTTTGAGTTTTATCATAAATTGCTTTACTTCTGAACTCGCCTAATGGGGCTCTTTCAAATCTTAATAATCTGTCAGTATCTGCTTAATCAGTAATGAGATCAAAAACTTTGTTTCATCAGCTTAATTAGTGATAAGATCAACAATTTTTATTTGATAACTTCTGTAGTAAAGGATGAACATTATGTTATTATTGAATTAGTAAAGTAACTTTTAAAGTCAGGTGATTTATTTAAATCATGCATTTTAGTCTTTTGTCAATTGTATTTAAATTTATTAATTTATAAAATTAATCTCTAATTTTTAAATTAAAAGACGACTCAAGAAGACGTTGCTCATTTCAAAGGTCAAGAGGTCAAACTCTTGATAAAGTTAGTGTTTAAAACACTTGCATCTCACACGGTCAACTCAATGTTACATGTTAAAGAACAAGATCGTTTAATACCTTATTTAAAAGAAGTTATAAAAAAACCAGATTGTTTGATAGTTTGTTTTTGAAAGTTGTTAAACATTTATTACGAGGTATTTCAAAAAACAAAAATAAGGTTGTATTTGTAAAGTTTCAAATTTATATATTTTTCTTAATTTATATATTTATCTATATATGTGTGTTATTTATATTGTGTTTTATTGTGTATATATGTGTTAAGGTTATATGGGTTTATATTTTGTAAGTGTGTAAATATATGAAATGTTTCAATGTTAGTGGTGTGTTATATGTAATATGTTTATAGTTTGTAAGTGATAATTATGTTGTTTGCATGGTTTCAAATTGTTGTGACTGGGCTTAGTTTACAGCAAGATTGTTGACCTCGCTAGCCAAGTGGTGTACTTTGCTATAATGTGACCTGGCTTTGTTGAGAGCAAAAATATTGTCCTCGCCAGCAGAGTGGTGTATTGTCATAATAAAACACATAAATTAATTCTGTTTGTAATTAGTGTATTTCTAAAATGTGTTGAAAAAATATTGTTTAAAAAATGTGTTTTAATGTTGTTATCCTCTGTTCTTAACAATGTATGCTTTTGACAATAAATAAATTTTGTTAAAAAGCAGGCTTTACTAACAGCTCCTCCTCATTAAAATTATTAAGAGTTTCGATTTTCTTCATTAAATATGTTTAACTCAAATTTTTTTTATATATATAAAAGTAAGTATACAGCGTGTTGAAGCATAAGTTTTAATAACTTTTGGTAAATTTTTAGGATTTTTTGTATAGAGAATGTTTTCTTTATATTATTATTTTAATGTTTTGTATGTACATCAATATATATATATATATATATATATATATATATATATATATATATATATATATATATATATATATATAGTATATATATATATATATATATATATATATATATATATATATATATATATATATATATATATATATATATATATATATATATATATATATATATATATATATATATATATATATATATATATATATATATATATATATATATATATATAGACACACACACACACAATAAAATATATAGAATTAAAATGTCTATACATATATTATATGTATAGACATTTTAATTTTTTTGCCTTAAATTATTGTCCCTTTTTCTTTAGAATATTAAATATCTAAAAACAAAATAAAATAGTAAAAGAAGTTTCAATATTTCCAAGTTTCTTCACTTGAAGCAAATATATGATTGTTTATAGAGGTTCTTTTAGTAGTTTTGTATTTATTTATTGCAAATCTTGCGTTTAATGCCTTTCAAAGTAATGAAAGGGTTTTGTTGATGGATGATTACATTTTATCCTTCCATGCTAGCAGTACCTGCTGAGTTGACAGGCCTTAAATTTTTTTAATTTGCTTTATTTATGAGTTCTTATATGTAAAAAATTTGTTTTTTAAATTACATTTGTTTTTTTTGTTTTTTTTGATTAAATACTTATAATATTTTGTCAATAATTGATAACAACTACCATAAATATATAAACAATACTTAGTTGAAAATATTACATTAATTTATAACTTTAGTTTAAGTTTTTAATAAAACTATGTTATCTTAACACAATGCTATATATGGTAGAATATAATAGATTATAGTATTATGCTCTGTATTATTTGCTTACACTTTATTTTAGATAAGTTTAAAAAAGAAACTTCAACTTTTATTATATTAGGCATCATTTTTACACACTCCTTTGATGCCTAATTATGTCTAATAATTTAAGAAATGAAATTATTAGACTTCGTCAAAATGAAAGAAAGCAGGCTAGGCGAGCTGAGATAAACCGCCGTCGAAATGAAAGAGATGAGCCCAGGCAAGCTGAGATAAATCGTCGTCGAATGGAAAGAGATGAGCCCCGGCGAGCTGAGATAAATCGTCGTCGAATTGAAAGAGATGAGCCCCGGCGAGCTGAAATAAATTGTAATCAAAATGAAAGAAATCAGGCTAGGCGAGAACTTAATAGGTATAATATGCATCGCATAGCAAGAAATAATATTGCTATAGAGAGTAACTACCTCGGAGAATTAAACCATAATTGTCAGTATTGCAGTGCAAAAAAGTTTTTAAATGAAACTCATTTTTTGTGCTGCCATTCAGGAAAAGTTGCATTAGCTCCTCTTTCTCTTTATCCGCCATTGTTGACTGGTTTAATGACAGGAAACCATGTTGATCATGCTGTAAATCAAAATTTTTTTAAACACATAAGGAGTTATAATTCCTCTTTATCTTTTGCTTCCTTCACTGCCGAAATAGCTCCTCCCTCAAATAATGGCCCTTTCTGTTTTAAGGTCTGTGGGCAAATTTTGCATCGTGTTGGAAATTTAAGGCCTGCAGAAGGTTGTCTGCCCAAATATTGTCAGCTGTATATCTATGATCCTAATGCAGCAGTGTCATTCAGAATGGAACAACCTGGTAATGATGGTTGTATACATGAGTTAATGCAACTCTTGCAAACATTAATTAATCAAGAAAACCCATTTGCTCTTGCATTTAAAAACATGGCAGAAGTAGAGGATGAAGAAATCCGCCAAGCAGCTTTAGAAGGTAGACCAACCTCTGTTGTAAGAATGTCTTTGCTTGAAGGTCATGATAGACGTCGATACAATCTTCCTTCCCATGAGGAAGTTGCTATTGTGTTTGTGGGAGATGATGGTGCTCCACCTGCATCCAGGGAAATTGTTATATACCCTCGAGGTCAGCCTTTAAGAACAATTTCGTCTATGTCTGCAAATTTGGATCCTTTGGTATATCCAATATTCTTCCCGAGAGGTGATGCTGGATGGCACAATCAACTAGAGCACAACCCTGACCGTGCAACCCGTGTTAGAAACCATGTTACTTTGTCTCAGTATTATAATTATAGGCTTGCTGTTAGACAAACTTTTAGTCCTATATTCTATGGTAAGAAACTTTTTCAGCAATATGTTGTTGATGCATATGTCAAAGTTGAGGGACAGCGCCTTACTTTTATTAGAAATAACCAAAACAAACTTAGAAGTGAGCAATATGATGCATTGCATGAACATGTAATTAATCGTGCTAATGATCTTAATGTAAGACCAGGCCGTGTTGTTATATTGCCTTCTTCATATGTTGGTAGTCCAAGAGCATTAAAAGAAAACTTTGAAGATGCGATGGCAGTCATAAAGAAATATGGTAAACCAGATCTATTCATTACTTTTACCTGCAATCCAAAATGGAGAGAAATAGTAGAAAATTTAAACCCAGGCCAAACTGCTAATGACAGACCTGATTAAGTTTGTCGGGTATTTAAAATGAAACTTAAATTTTTCTTAGAGGATATTTTTAAGCATGGAGTCTTAGGCAAAGTTGTAAGTCATGTGCAGTTTGAGGTGAGGTTGGCTTTAGTAATTTGTTCATCTATTTAGAAAAATTAGAAGATTTACAAAAGTCCATAGGTGAGCAAAATTGCTTTTATGTTTATTATACACCCTAATTATTTATTTACATCTAATATTAAATGCGTTTTTTCAATTTGAGATTAGTTTTGGACTTTGTACTTGTTGGTCAATTTTTTTAAATATCATTTTAAACTACATTTGTAAGTAACTATATTATGTTTTATGTCTCATAAAAGTTTTAATAAATAATATAATGTAATCACTTATATAGTGACAAATCCAACTTCCTCAGTAACGTATGTTGTTGTACTCACTTATACTTGACTTAATTTATGGATTAATTGGTTTTATTGCATTTTTAATTTTCTTTTATTTATCTCTAGCTGCTGCTTCTTCTGTTACAAGTAAGTTGTTCTATTCACTTATACTTGACTTAATTTATGGATTAATTGGTTTTATTGCATTTTTAATTTTCTTTTATTTATCTCTAGCTGCTGCTTCTTCTGTTACAAGTAAGTTGTTCTATTCACTTATACTTGACTTAATTTATGGATTAATTGGTTTTATTGCATTTTTAATTTTCTTTTATTTATCTCTAGCTGCTGCTTCTTCTGTTACAAGTAAGTTGTTCTATTCACTTATACTTGACTTAAATTGGATTGATTGTTTTTATTGCATTTTTAATTTTCTTTTATTTATCTCTAGCTGCTGCTTCTTCTGTTACAAGTAAGTTGTTCTATTCACTTATACTTGACTTAATTTATGGATTAATTGGTTTTGTTGCATTTTTAACTTTCTTTTATTTATCTCTAGCTGCTGCTTCTTCTGTTACAAGTAAGTTGTTCTATTCACTTATACTTGACTTAATTTATGGATTATTTGGTTTTATTGCATTTTTAATTTTCTTTTATTTATCTCTAGCTGCTGCTTCTTCTGTTACAAGTAAGTTGTTCTATTCACTTATACTTGACTTAATTTATGGATTAATTGGTTTTGTTGCATTTTTAACTTTCTTTTATTTATCTCTAGCTGCTGCTTCATCTGTTACAAGTAAGTTGTTCTATTCACTTATACTTGACTTAATTTATGGATTAATTGGTTTTATTGCATTTTTAATTTTCTTTTATTTATCTCTAGCTGCTGCTTCTTCTGTTACAAGTAAGTTGTTCTATTCACTTATACTTGACTTAATTTATGGATTAATTGTTTTTATTGCATTTTTAATTTTCTTTTATTTATCTCTAGCTGCTGCTTCTTCTGTTACAAGTAAGTTGTTCTATTCACTTATACTTGACTTAATTTATGGATTAATTGGTTTTATTGCATTTTTAATTTTCTTTTATTTATCTCTAGCTGCTTCTTCTGTTATAAGTAAGTCACTTTTACTTAACTTATTACATTGATTGATTGTTTTTATTGCATTTTTAATTTTCTTTTATTTATCTCTAGCTGCTGCTTCTTCTGTTACAAGTAAGTTGTTCTATTCACTTATACTTGACTTAATTTATGGATTAATTGGTTTTATTGCATTTTTAATTTTCTTTTATTTATCTCTAGCTGCTGCTTCTTCTGTTACAAGTAAGTTGTTATATTCACCTTTACTTGACTTATTACATTGATTGATTGCTTTTATTGTACCTTTTGTTTTTTAATATAGCTACAAATGTGCTTTCCAGTTTAATTAGTTAATGTAATAAGTCAAGTATTAGTGAGTAAAATAAATAAGTTGTTGTGCTTACTTGTACTTAATTTATTACATTATTTGCTTTTATTGTTTTTTTACAGTAGATTTTTTGTAAGTATTACCTTGGTACATAGTTGTATTTATATATAATTTTTTTTTCAGGCTCGAAGTCATGGGAAGAATTCAGAAAGTATCGCTCCCAGCATCCAGGCCCTCTATCTATGAGGGCCTTCCATCGCAGGTGTTTGTATGGGGACGACCATTCCTCCTTTAGATGGAGGGACGGCACCCCATACAACACGGGGAATAGAGCGGATGCTGGGAGGAGAAGACAACGTGGCGCAAAAGTTGTCAATAATTTTTTTACATATTAAAATGTAAAGAAATTGACAACTTTTGAGCCACTTCATTTTTTTTTTTGTAATATATTTTTGTAAATTTATTTTTGTGTTGTTTTTTATTTTTCCCATGAATGTTAAATGTTATCAAAGTAAATCATTTAAATAAAGACATCTTTATCAATGCTCATTAACTAGAAATAAAAGTCACGGTCATACATTTGATAAAGTTAATGGTTATCTCAAAGGGATTTGGTTTTCACACAATCAAATTCTATCTAGCACCTTCCAGAACTAAGAATATAAGTGTGTGGTGTCAGTAGTTTAAAATATGTATAATAAACTCAGAATAACTCAATAACCCTCAACAAAACTATGAACTAATTTTTAAATTCAAGTTGAGCTTTTTTATTTATTAATACCTCCCCTCCCAATAACAATAAATTTTTTTGTCCTTTGGAGGTGGTTCTGCTATTTAATTAATTGTTGTGATGTTTTATGCAAATAGATTTAGCTCACATTCATGTTGGTCTGTCAGGGTTATGTAAAAATAAAAAAGTAAGTTTCTTATTCGCATTTTTGAGTTTTCAAAAGTATTGATTGCATGACATGTTAATTTGTAATTAATGTGTATGATTATGATTATGCGTTTAAATAACTTTGTTCCATTTTTAGTTGCGTTTCTTATAGCTGACTTGATTATGGCTTACCTAAAGCTTAATATTTATGAAACAATGATTCAATTTAAATTGTATTATAAGTAGCTCTGTTGAATAAATTTTTTTTTTGTAATTTGTACTAAAGGTTATATTTTTATTTTATATCAAGAAAAATATGTTTTTAAGTAAATATCTATATTTTTTTATTTTGGGATTTATTGGTTTAAATGGATATAAAAATCATTTTTGCTTTGTCTTTCATATTTCCTTTTATTATATATGAATAGGAACCATTTATGCTTTAATCACCATTAGCACTCGAAGTTTCCATTTGCATTAAGTATCGATTTTTGGCACACACAACAGGTTTAATAACTTAGGCAGTAAAAACAGCTTGAATGATTTGTTAAGAGTCTTTAAAGAAACGCTTTTACGAAAAGCATTAAATAGATAAAGCTAACTTATTTAAAATAATAAGTCTTTAACCCGTTTTTCTATATCCAAATTTACTTTTTAAATAAATGTTGATGAAAGGGTAAAATATCGTTATAGCCTACGTTAATTTTAAATTCTTTTTAAATTAAAGGAAAGAGTTTTGATACTTATTTAAATAGGGTTAATAAAATATTTTAAATTATATTATATATATTATATTTAAGAAATTATTAAACTAAATTAAATAAGATTTTTAGATGAAACAGTAAAAATAATTGTTTATAATACGTGCGTTCAAATAATTCCTACAAATACTAAACGTAAAATAACGCTTACAAACACCAAAAGTATGTTTGCAGTGAATAAAGTTAAGTTCAAAGATAAATAGGAAGAAATGTTTAAAACTGTTTCAATGATAACATTTATTTTTAATTACTTTTGTTGTAAGTTGGGATGAAAAAAAAAGTCACTGGAGTATGAACTCCCGGGGTAAGATGACTATAAATGTCTAAGTGTTGCGCGTCTACCAATTAGCCCATAAACGTATTTTCTATTTAAATTTAAGATTATTTATGACGCATAAGAAGTGTAATTAAAAACTCAAAACCAAGTTTGCAACAACTGAGTTTAAATAAAATCTAATTAGATGTGTATATGTTATGAACGTTAACTAAGGCGTACTTTAACGGCGTCACGTGTTGAATGTTTTAGCATTTTTCTAAGTTCGTAGTCTTTTTTACGTTTTTTCTTATTAAAATTTTTATAATCGGCATAATATTAAAATCGTTTGAAGTTTTTAAAAGAACATTTTAACAGAAATGTTTTTGTCATATCAAAAAGTAAGTATAGTTTTTTATATGTACATTTTTAAACGGTTTTAAAAAAATATTGAGGTAAGGAATAAGTATAGAAAAGGTCGGTGTAGAATAGATTTACTAAGACCCTTAGTTTACGTCCGGATAGCTATAGATAAGTATAAAAATGGTCGGTTCGGTAAAGACCCGTATTTTACGGGTCACCCCAGCTAGTTTTTATCTTATTTACATTCCATATAAGTATTAAAAAACTTTATTCATTTCAAAAAATTAATTTTATCATAAAAAATGCTCTTTAAAAATACCTTGAATTTAGTTGAGATTGTTCTCTTGTAACTATTTCTTTGCAACTCATCACTAAGAATATATACAAAAATATCTTTGTATTGTCTATAATTTACAATAATAAATATAAAAACTATAAATTAGTAGTTAGACATGCATTAAATACTTGTTAAAATCAATTAATAATTTTATTATAAAACTTTATTATAAAAATGTATTCAAATGTGTATAATAAATAATAAAAAATGTAAGATTTCATACATTATTTTAAAGAAACAAAGAATTGGTTTATAGCTATCTCTATATCTATTTATTTATATATAAATGTATATATATATATATATATATATATATATATATATATATATATATATATATATATATATATATATATATATATATATATATATATATATATATATATGTTCTGCTACATAAACTAACAAATAATTAGAATGCAAAAAGTGCTGTTACATTGACTGAGGGTCAAAACACTACAACCACATAAAAATATATAGGCTATAAATTCTATTTACTATACTTATTTACTAAATTTAACTTATACAAACTAATAGATTAACAGTTCTACTATAATAATAATTTACTATAACATTATTATAATATTATATTAAAATAATTCTATATGATCAAAAGAAAAATCATAAATTGTATTACAGTTACGTTGGAAAGAACGTCATTGAAGTCGGTGAACTTGCAGACGATTTATATATAAGCACTCCATTTACTTGTAAAACGTACACATATGCAGTTACACGATTACAGTTAACGCTTGTGAAACCTTTTTTATAGGTCCTGCAAAAACAATACGTGAGGTAATAAATTTTATTAACTGAAAACATTTTAAGATGTTTTCAAAATACTTCAATTAAAAAATTGTTGTTTGAGCAAACATGAAAACTATTGAAAAATATTCCTTTTTTAGGTTTCTTCTTGTTGTTGTCCCTGGCCACTAGCATTACGTTTTGTTGCATGTTATCAGACTTGTATGGTCACTACTTTCGAAGCCTTTCCGACTGAACAATACCCAGCTGTTTGTCATCAATGCCATCTTTATCATGTGATGTAACACTGACTACTATAACTTTTGAAAAAAAAACAGTTAGTTAAAGTCTTCTTTAATCTGTTTCACTTACTTTCCATTAAAATAAGTACAGAATATCTTACCTTTAAGATTATTTATAATTTTTTGCCTGATGTTGTCTTTAAGTATCCCAATCTTCAATTATAGATTGCAGCTACTAATGAAGTTTGTAGGCGAATACCTATGCTATATCAAGCAGAAACCAAAGCAGTACAGCCAGCACTTATTTTTTCAGCACTTATGTTTATCATTATTTTATCCATCCTCCTAAACCAAATATGTTTATTCTTATCCAAATAATCTCCATCCTCCTAAACCAAAAATGTTTATTCTTACCAAAATATTCTCCAACCTCCTAAACCAAATATGTTTGTTCTCTATTGATTTCTAGAATGATTGCTTTTTCTCTTCTTTAATATACATGTTTCTTTACTATTATACATGTTTCTTTAATTTCTGGTCAAGGTTTTATTAATTTCTGGTCATAAACAAAAGTGTTCTACATAAATTTCTTTAATTTTTACTAAACTGTTTAATAAGTGTTTGACTGAATCTAAGTCTTGACACCTGTCCCCTCCAACTGCTATTCAATCAGTCTTCTCTCTAATATAAGCAAAGTCTTTGATAATTAATCAACAATTTCTAACATTCCAAATTGAGTCTAATATTTTACTCTCTAACAATCATTATGGTTTTTGAACTTCTTGTTTTGAGGCCGACTTGCTAACTGTAATGGTATGCTGGTCTTCTCCATAACCTTGCTTCATTTGACGTATCTGAGAAAGTTTTTGAGACTATCAAGTCATTTCTTTCTAATTGCTTTATTAATGTCATCCTCGAAGGCTAACACACTTCTTCGCTTCAAGTACCTTCTGGAGTACCTAAAATCGTTATACTTGGTCCTGTGTTATTTTTTATTTACATTAATGATCTTCCTGACGATCTTACATCTAAAGAGGCTCTATTTGTTGATTAATAATCTTTATACCCCTGTTTAAATAAAAAATCTGATCTCACTTTTATAACAGCTTTGAGCTTGTAGAGCCTTTTGAATTTTAACTTCAACAAAACTCAGTTGCTTATTTCAACCTAACTCCAATTGTGGTAAAGTTGTATCTCCTTCTATTTTATACAAATGGTTGCTGCTCAAAGGAGCTATCATCTTTAGTTCCATTAACCAAAACTCATTCTTCAATGGATCGTCATTCAGCAAATTCGCATTTTACTGTATCTGTATCTGTATTTTTTTGTTTTTTCTTCGGACTGTATTTATCAAAAGGTAATTATTTAAAAAATTGATTATATATTCTGTATTTTATTGAAGTATATTTTTTATTTAGATTTAGTACGAGTCAGCAGTGAACTTATACAGAAATAATCAAACATTTTGGAAGACTGAAAACTTTGATACACTCAAAAAGTCACTTTTCAAGTTTAATTATTTCCTTTCGAAATTTAATATACAATCAATACAAATTTGAGTCACAAAGTAAATTTAACTTTCTTAAAGCAATATTTAAAAAACAAAATTTAGAAGAAAACTTGTGTTTGTTGTGTTGCTTCTTCTTCCTATAAAACAACCTTATTATTTAGCAACTAAATTTTCTTTTTAATTTATAATATATTTTAAAAGAAAAATTTAAAAGAAAAAATTTTGAATTTAAAATATTAAAAAAAAAAGAACAAGCTAAAACTTTTCTATATTATTTATCTTTTCTATATAACTTGTTTTTTTTTTAATTATTATTTTGCTTGCATCGTTTGTAATGAATTAGGAAGTATTAATCAAGAAAAAAGAGTATGTAATA